GAGAACCAAAGAATTCTGAGAGGGAAGGGGGGTATGAATCTGGAGAGATGAGGTGGTGGGGACAGAAGAGTCCTGCGGTGGAACAGGAGAGGAAGGAGGCTGGAAGGTAACTGGGGAAGAAGTCTGGGGGTGAACAGTAGAAGAGGGATCCACACGAGGGGGATGAACCTCCACCTTCATGCGAGAATTATAAAGGGGGAAGTAAAAGGCCGAAAGGAAAACTGTTGAGGAATTGTAAGCACCAGAGGACTGCCAAGAGACTTGGGCTTATGAAACAGGTTCAACTTCGCAGGTGATAGGCTCGAAGAAGACACAGGCATGCGAGGTCAAGAAGAAGAAGAGGTAGGAATGGGTAAGGAGGTGGGGGTTTCAGAAGGTAAAACCGCAAAAGAATTAGAGACAGGGATGACCCGGAAAACACGACACTGGTAGAGCTGGTAAGTGGGGAAACCACCAAGGTTGGAGGTCTCCTAACCACTCGAGAATAAGGGACACAAGGACGATTCCCTTGAAGGTAGAGCCGAGAGACAATCATAGCATAAGTACCGCCTTCACTCTCCTTAAGAAAATGGATTTCTCGTTCATTAAGATAGACCTGACATCGGCAGGAAAAAGAAGGATGACGTTCATTGTAATTGAGACAAGTGGGGGGAAGACTGCAAGATATATCAGCATGGTCCGCGGCACCGCAGATCGAGCACTCCACCAGAGATCTGCAGTATTTAGCGGGGCGTCCGAAGTGCCTACAATTTCGAGACAGTTGGGGAGTAGGGACCATTTTACGGGAGTTCACGGCAGTCAAAGGTTAAGCTGGAAATGTACCTGGGAAAGCGCCTCCGCCTGTGAGAGGGCAGGACATATGTATCCTTTTTGAGAATTTGAAGGTCCTGAAGGGCTAATTGCTCTAAAATATCATCACCGCAAGACAGAAAATCACTCTTCACAATGGAACGCAGTAAAACCACCGTCCCACTGCAAGAATTGAGAGTAGCATGCTTATGAACTGTGATTGGAATGTTATCAATGGAAGTAAGATGGGAAAGATCATGAGCTTGTTCTGCATTCTGAACTGTAACGATGCACACACCGCTTCAAAGAGCGTAAAAGGATATACTTTGGCCAACGTGTCGTAAAGGAGCTTTACCAATACTATGGTCAGAAAGATAATCAGTGGAGATGTCAGTTGTAGGAAAAAGAATTCAGTCCACTGCATACTTGTAAACAGGTGTGTACAGGAAGTAGGTGTCTCGTAGGCCGTTTTTGGATTGAATGAGCAGACATCGAAGAACCCCTCCCCCCTCAGCAAATGGTCTGGAACATTTAGGCGTAGTACCGAGGGCTTCCCGACCAGAGGTAGGTGGGCGTTCCAAAAACCTTCCACCATATTCAGGAAAACCGGATGCATAGTTAAAGGTGTGCAAGAGGTAGAGGCACTAGCAGAAATGGCCGAAGCCTCAGCACTTGGAACAGGTGACGAAGCATCATCAGCAGAAGGTACAGGGTTAAGAGAGGATTCTGGTGAATGGTCCAATAATGAAGCTGGGTCAGAATAGGATGCGGGAGCAAAAAGGGGCCTGGGAAGAGGAGGGTTGTCATGGAACGAAGACTCCATGATAGTGGTACTTCTTATTATTATTTAAAAAAAAGAAAGAAGGAAAAAAAATGAGGGACAGCAGAGGGACAGTCATTATAAGGTATGAAAGGGTCATAAGTTTCTCCTTTCATCTAAGAGGACCTCGAGCCCAAAAGCAGTGCAGATGCAGCGTGGAACCCGTGCCATACCCTACCCTTCACGCCAGTAAGCCAGCGCTCCAGGATAGCAGCCTCACCTCAGCGGACAAAAAAAGAGGGCGGTCGGAAACACTCCACATAGCATACCTCCTTCGGCTGCCACCTCCCAGAACCGACAGGCAGCCTCTGGAGATACATCCGTCACCTGCAGGACACCCTGCCCACTTCTCGTAAACTCGGGAAAGAGCAGAGCGCCTCCAGATAATCCAGATTCCACGACAAACTACATCACAACCAAGGAACCTCACGGAGCGGGATGAACCTCGGCACACTTTCCCCTACATAGAAACTGTAATGCCAGAGGGGAGGACCCCAGAGGTTACAAACGGGACGGGGAAAAGGGAGGGTTGGGAAAGGGGAGGAAGGGGAAAGAAGGGGGGATGGGGAGGATGAGATAGGGAAGGGAAAACTGGGGGTTAATTAGGTTCGGTCTGAGAAAGGAGATCAAAGGGTTTAATTCGTTAAACCAAGAGCCTCTTTGCCGCATCAAGGAGCCACCCATGAAGAGGAGCGTATCGTGAGCGTGGCCTAGGAGGATATCCTGAACCTATCCTAGGAGGGTATCCTCAGCCTTGCGTTAGGCTTCAAAGTGCTGTAAACACTTTTGGAGGTTCAAATTGAGGCATACTTCCCACAGTCACCTATTAACTCAGGTGGCGGGGCCTTCATCTTTGTCAGTCCTCTTCGTTCCTATAGTAATGTTTCGAAAATTTTATCCGTGATTTGTCTTTGCAACTGAACGACATTGCTGTTTAATTCGTTCACTATTCCCAGTATCCGTAGAATGTTCTGGAGCGTCCGTCACACCAGGGCTCGTCAACACTTTCTCAGCAGACGCTAGCTAGTGGTTCTCAGGTGGTGGTGTGCTGGTTACTTTCTGTAGACTGCACTCGTCTCGTTCCGCCTAACTGTTGGTCTTAGTGCGGTGTCACAGTTTATCTCACTTGTGGTGAGGCAGAGTGTTGGTGGTCCCAGAAATCTTTTTCCATACTTTCTACTGGATTTTTTTAATCTGATTTGCTGCGCGGTATATACTTAGTTACACCAAGACTGGTATGCTTGGTCTAAAGTGATAGTAGACTGTAGACTACAGTGTAGACTGATTCCACATTTATTATCGTGTGTCATGGGCTGCCTACGGTGTATTGTATAGTTGTGTCTTTTCTAAATACCTTAGTCTCTCTTATACATGACGTTATCTGAGATAAGTGGACCACTTGTAACTCGGTTATACCATGATAAGACAGTTATGCAATAATATATGCAACCCGCTTTGCTCATATTTAAATTAAAATTATTTTTATATTTATCGAAGTTAAAGTCTCTTCTAAGCCCCTTTGGAGATAGTAAAGTTAAAATGGTAACTTAGAACCGTAAAGTGATTAACTTTTTTCTTACGATCAGTAATGAGACCCGCCGCTGTTGTGAGTTATTTGGCTCAGCGTTCTAGGTCACTGTGAGATCCGTGGTAGCTCGTTGCCAGTCTTAAAATACCTTGCTTGGTGACATTGGCAAAGAAAAGTACATTCAAGGCTTAAAAGAATTAAACTCGTTCCTTCTTTTTTTCAGTTTTAGTTACTTTGATTTTCATTGGACGCTTCAAGGAGAGTGTCTTGACTTAGGTGAAAAACTTTAATCCTAGGAATAAACTATTCTCACCTTCCTTAAAGCAAGACGGATTCCTTCACATTCCCCGTATCAGAAAGACGGGTATGAGACTATTAAAAGGATACGTTTGCCTCACCAGGAGGTTCTTCAGTCCTCTCGGCGAATAACAGTGATTTTATTCACTGTTATTCTTCACTGGACTGAAGACGCTCTTGGTGGGCGAAACGTAATCTGGATATCTTAATATTCGCATACACGTCTTTTTCACATAAATGTCGGTGTTCCCCATCAGTTCTGACGTTCCGTTCACCAGGCGTTGTATGTCATCGATGACGCGAGGAACCTGCTGCCATCAACGAAGTCAAAAACTCGCCAAATATTCAAAAAAAAATTTTATTGTTAAATACGAGGTGCGACACTCGTGTGGCTTCATAAAAGTTGTATGAAAATCAGCCGAAAGAATTTCTTTACATGTGTGGCAATATTTTTTTGGTGCTAAACCGGAAAATGGTCTGTTGCCAGAGTGTTACAGTGGTGTCAGGTGAAGGTTGGTGAGTCCTTCACCTTAGGTGCCTCTCTCTGCATTACCCCTCCACCCTCCCCCCCCACTCCTCCAAGGTACCTTCGTCACATTCAGTGACATACCAAAAATATGCTGCAGATAGATGGCGGATAGATAACCGGATGAATATACAGATACAAAGAGAAGTATAATTCAGTATTTTCTGTTTACTCTGGTGTGTTTACTCTGGTGTGTTTACTCTGGTGTGTTTACTCTGGTGTGTTTACACTGGTGTGTTTACTATGGTGTGTTTACACTGGTGTGTTTTCTCTGGCGAGTTTACACTGGTGTGTTTACTATGGTGTGTTTACACTTGTATATTTACTCTGGTGTTTACACTGGTGTTTATTCTGGTGTGTTTATTCTGATGTGTTTATAAGTTATAACTCATAACCGTTATTTATTATTATTCTTATTATTATGAAAAGAAAATAAACCCATGGAGACAAAATTTTATTTATTTTTACCCTGAGTCTTTCTTTTCCAGTTCCCTCCTTTCCCCTCCCCTCCCCTCCCCTCCCCTCCCCTCCCCTCCCCAACCCCTCTCCTCCTCTACTTTCCCCTCCCTCCAGCTTTCTCTTTCCTGCCATTGCCTTCAAGGTGATCTTTTCCAGCACTTTCACCGTGTTCCTTTCTTTTCCATGATTTTCCCCATAGCCTGGCTAGTTGATCAGCGAAAGGAGGATCGAGCCTCCCCTACTCCTTATGCTGAAAGATCCAAATAAATCTCTTCCAGCTGTTCCCTTCCAGCTGCTCCTTTCCAGTTGTTCTCTTCCAGCTGCTGCCTTTTAGTTGTTCCTTACCACTTGTTCCTTCCCAGCTGTTTCATTCCCAGCTGTTTCACTCCCAGATGTTTCATTCCCAGCTGTTTTCTTTCCAGTTGTTCTTTTCCAGATGTTTCTTTCTATCTGTTCCTTTTGTGACAGCTTCGACCCAAATACATAAAAAATTACTAAGAAGCGAGTTCCATTATCTTGAACGCTTCTCAGATATCTCTATCTCTCTCTGATCTCACCTCTCTGTCTCTTCCTGCCGTCAGAAAGTCGTGCTGGAGATGAACCGTCTGGGGATGCTGGTGGATCTCTCTCACGTCTCTCAGCAGACGATGAGAGATGCTCTAGCTGTCTCCCGCGCACCTGTCATCTTCTCTCACTCCTCCGCTCACGCACTCTGTCGTCACTCACGCAACGTGCCAGATGATATCCTCAAGCAAGTGGTAAGTGGCGCTCAAGTGTCAGAGAATATCCTCAAGCAAGTGAGATCACTGAGTAGTAAGTGGCGCTCATGTATCAGGTGATATAAACTGGTAAGTGAAGTTGAAGTGTCAAATATCAAATATCTTTAAGTGGTAAGTGGCGCTAAAGTGACAGAGGATATTCTCAAGCATGTGATAAAAGGCTCATAATAAATGAAATTATATATATATATATATATATATATATATATATATATATATATATATATATATATATATATATATATATATATAATATATATATATATATATCCTATAGCATGCACTAATATTAATCAACATAGGTGTCTTAGGACTGTAAAAAAAAAAATGGGTTTGGAATAGCTTACATAATAAAAAATATAACTCCTGACTAAACAACCATGGGCAAAGTTGATTATTTGTTTACGTTATGGGAAAAAATATTCAGACAACCTCTAAGCTGTAAAAACTTCATCTAATTCTGAGACTGCAATAAAATCTCGAGAGACATCTGCAAGACTTCACATTTGTTGGAACATCTCATATTTGACATCGATCTTGACGAAACGTGTTTTCCGATTCGCCTGGATCTTGATTTAACGTGTTTCGCATTTTGTTTGGATCCTGATTTAACGTGTTTCACATTTTGGATCCTGATTTAACGTATTCCACATTCCACAAGGATCTTGATCAAACGTATTTCTCATCTGACATTTACAAAAACATATTTCGCATTTGGCACTGACCTTGCTAAAACATTTCACATTTCTCATTGATTTGGGGAAAAAAATATTTCACATATACACTTCTGCATCATTATCAGGCTGAGCCCATTAATGTCGCAAATAAAAAGTCTTGAATAACATTAAATATCCCGAAATGACATTAAATGTCCCGGAACATTAAAATTATTTTAATTTCGTTTAGACATTCGCGAAAAATCAAATGGTTTAAGTAATTAGTTTTATCAAATAACTTTTAAAGTCATGATATTATCCCCTTCTCCATTAGTAGTGTTTAGATTCTGGCGAGATGATCTAGGTCCAAGAAAATGGAGGTACTCTTCCTTTCCTCAGATCAAACCGCTATTATTACCTCCTGTTTCCTTGATTTTGTATGTCCCCTTTTTTTTTTGGGGGGGGGGATTTGTTTTGATTTACCACCGTTCCATAACCCGATGTTAACGCTGGTTAATTGTTGTGTTGCAGCACTTAAACGGTGGGATAGTAATGTCATCACTGTACCATAACCCGATGTTAACGCTGGTTAATTGTTGTGTTGTAGCACTTAAACGGTGGGATAGTAATGTCATCACTGTACCATAACCCGATGTTAACGCTGGTTAATTGTTGTGTTGCAGCACTTAAACGGTGGGATAGTAATGTCATCACTGTACCATAACCCGATGTTAACGCTGGTTAATTGTTGTGTTGCAGCACTTAAACGGTGGGATAGTAATGGTCAGTTTCTACAACTACTTCCTCACCTGCAACGACTCCGCCAGTGTCCACGATGTTGTCCGTAAGTGTTGGTGTGGTTGTCCAGATTTTCCTAACTACCGGGAAAGTGTCTCTAAGTACCTAAGTCTCATTCATTGTTTTGCGCGTTACTACCGTCAGGGGAAGATTTATAAGGGTCAAAGTACTGTACACAATAAATATATTTTCGACTGCAGTTGCAACTGTAGTAAAGTCTGATTTTCGTTGTTATTTTCTTGTCAACATGTGGAATACCCATAAACAATGACAGTGTTGACTACACTCTTAATATCACCAAATATACAATTAAATAGAAAAATGTGTAACCTCATAGGCCTGGTCACAGACCGGGCCCCGGGGGCGTTGACCCCCAGAACTCTCTCTACGTCTCCAGGTAATAACATACTATAACCTTATAACAATATATAACCTCATAACAGCATATAACCTCATAACAACATATAACCTCATAACAATATATAACCTCATAACAACATATAACCTCATAATAATATATAACCTCATAACAATATATAACTTCATAACAATATATAACCTCATAACATATAACCTCATAATAATATATAACCTCATAACAATATATAACTTCATAACAATATATAACCTCATAACATATAACCTCATAATAATATATAACCTCATAACAATATATAACTTCATAACAATATATAACCTCATAACAACATATAACCTCATAATAATATATAACCTCATAACAATATATAACTTCATAACAATATATAACCTCATAACATATAACCTCATAATAATATATAACCTCATAACAATATATAACTTCATAACAATATATAACCTCATAACAATATATAACCTCATAACAATATATAACTTCATAACAATATATAACCCTCATAACATATAACCTCATAATAATATATAACCTCATAACAATATATAACTTCATAACAATATACAACCTCATAACAATATATAACCTCATAACAATATATAACCTCATAACAATATATAACCTCATAACAATATATAACCTCATAACAATATATAACCTCATAACAATATATAACCTCATAACAATATATAACTTCATAACAATATATAACCTCATAACAATATATAACCTCATAACAATATATAACCTCATAACAATATATAACCTCATAACAATATATAACCTCATAACAATATATAACCTCATAACAATATATAACCTCATAACAATATATAACTTCATAACAATATATAACCTCATAACAATATATAACCTCATAACAATATATAACCTCATTAACAATATATAACCTCATAATAATATAAACCTCATAACAATATATAACTTCATAACAATATATAACCTCATAACAATATATAACCTCATAACAATATATAACTTCATAACAATATATAACCTCATAACAATATAAACCTCATAACAATATATAACCTCATAACAATATATAATTTCATAACAATATATAACCTCATAACAATATATAACCTCATAATAATATATAACCTCATAACAATATATAACCTCATAACAATATATAACCTCATAACAATTATAACCTCATAACAATATATAACTTCATAACAATATAAACCTCATAACAATATATAACCTCATAACAATATATAACCTCATAACAATATATAACCTCATAACAATATATAACTTCATAACAATATATAACCTCATAACAATATATAACCTCATAATAATATATAACCTCATAACAATATATAACCTCATAACAATATATAACCTCATAACAATATATAACCTCATAACAATATATAACTTCATAACAATATATAACCTCATAACAATATATAACCTCATAACAATATATAACCTCATAACAATATATAACTTCATAACAATATATAACCTCATAACAATATATAACCTCATAACAATATATAAGCTTATAACAATTCCCAGGTTACACTTAGTTTGCTCGTCATTATTTTGTGCTTACGTTAAAGAATGTTTTATAAAGAATATATATTGGATTAACTATGACTGTCACTTGCCAGCAATATATTAAACCCAAACTGGGTTGTTCACTCCGTGGCTTGCACCAAGACACATCTGGTGCTCCTTAACAAATGTTTGCTTTCCTGCCTTCAAGGGAGAGCAAGTAACTCCGCCTCCCAAAAACAAAATATGGAACTTATTGACACTGGATGAGAGAACGGCTTAGGGTTCTGGTTAGCAAAAATTTAACTTATTTATGTGGCTCGCTAAACCCATGTAGTACTTCACTCAGCACCAAGAGTGATGTAGGCTCCATCTTCCGTCCACCAAAGTCGAGACAGATGCTCTACTGCTGCTCAAATTGTGAACATATCTATCCTGGTTAACAGAAATTTGAAGCCAAATCATCCATACGTAAGTGTTCATAACGAGGCTCACAGACTACTTCCTTTCTTATCACGAAGAATAGATAAATCCCTCAGATAAAGCGATGGTAAGGGTTTATTTACATCACGACCCGCAGCTGTGGTCTCCATGTTACGCCATGGATACACAACCTGGGAAACAAGCAGAAGAAAATGACGAGGCAAAACCTCCATCAGGAGTTTTTCTACAGACAATAGGAAATTTTAAATTTACTCACCTAGAAGGCGTGGTATGAAGAGACATTTTTTTTTTAGCGTAAAATAAAACAGATGCATAAATGTGATTATAAAAAAGGGTGAGAAAGATATGTGACAAAATTCGCAAAAAAATGGACTGAGGACAGATAAAAAATAAATAGAAAGATATAGGAAAGCAATGATATGGTAATAAATATGTAAGTGCAATAATAAGTACGACAGTAGTGACAAATTATGAAATAAACAGAACTGGAACACTTGAGACACTGAACTGGGCAACGTTTTGCACATTGGAACTTTTTCAGTCCAATACAGAGAATAGCGAAACCCAGAATATAAAGAGAAAGGAAGTCATGAGAGCTATGTAAGGTAAGGTTAGGTACGTCAGGTTACTGAGCCTGTGTCACCAGCTCTTGTAGTGAGTGGTGTGGATGAACCACGTTGATGAATACTTCAAAGATGCTATAACTACCTAAGCATTGATCTATCGTCTCGGAAACTGCCATCAAGAGCCTACCCATTATTCCCAGTAACCTAACATGTTACTCTGAATGGACGATTCTCTGGTTACAGTCCCTAGTCGTGTGTTATTAACACAGTTTGTCAAAATCAACAGCGTAGAGTCAATCTTCAAATTTGCTGCTCAGGAAGAAACGGAAAATAAACTCCTTTTATTAGATGTCTTACTAGGTGCAGGCGAGAACAGAATCTTCTGCAAAGTGCACAGGAAACCCACTAATAAGGACGACCTGTTGCATTTTTACTCTCAAGATTCACGCAGTAAAGATGTCAAAATCGGACTCTGCCTTAGAGCACATAGAATTCACAACCCATCGTTAACTGAACAGAAATATGATCACTTTATCCAGCACACGGGTACTCGGAATCACTATCAACACGGCCAAAAGGGAACAGTCACCTACTAAATACGTCGTGTTTCCTGTGGGTGAGGGAGCCAAGCCACAAAATAAGTGTGACCACTATTGCATTTGAAACCATCAAGGATTTAGTTAAGAAGAAACTAGCTAGGATTGTCTAGATTAACACAAGTGTGAATATTTTCCATGTAGGAGACGAGATAAGGTATTAGGTCTTATGTGCAACACCTGGGTATCTTTATCCTGAAGATATTTCGCCGAGGTTATTTGAAGACAATAGAAGCCGAGGAAATTAGTCCCTCATCCTATAGGAAGGTGCTCACCACTGTAGTCTTGGTGAACACCTTCATCTAGGCTGAGGGAGTGATTACTTCGTCTTCTTCTAATTCTAGTTTCATCTTCAAATTTCACCCGTACTGAGCTAATAAAGTCACTGGATGGCGAAACGTCTTCACACTGTACCATGGCAATACTGATCTTCACACTGTACCATGGTAATACTGATCTTCACACTGTACCATGGTAATACTGATCTTCACACTGTACCATGGTAATACTGATCTTCACACTGTACCATGGTAATACTGATCTTCACACTGTACCATGGTAATACTGATCTTCACACTGTACCATGGTAATACTGATCTTCACACTGTACCAGGGTAATATTGGTCTTCACACTGTACCATGGTAATATTGATCTTCACATTGTACCATGGTAATCACTGTACACTCTCTAGTACTATGAGAGTATTTGTAGAAGCCAGGTGCTGCACTTGCCTTGTTCACCAACTTGTCGACATTGTTAATCATCAGTGTTATCATAGGTCTTACGTTCTCACATTCAATATGTTGGGGAGACAGGCAGAAGCTTGAACCAGCACCTCAGTGACTGAACATTCAATAGAGATAGTTTGAATAACACTTGCGTAATGCACAGCAGTTCACAAGGGCCCTTGAGACGCCAAGTTCGTCTTGAAGGACATTCTGCAGAAACGTTGCAGCCTTCAGACTGCTTTGATCATGGCTCCCCACAAAAGTTGCCCAATGGAAAAAATAGACACAAATGCAATATAATGCGATCCTTTATTGACAACGTTTCGCCCACACAGTAGGCTTTGTCAAGTCAAACAGATCTGTTTGTTACTTGATAAAGCCCACTATGTGGGCTTTATCAAATGTCTATATTCCACAATAAGAATTTAGTTGAGTGAAACAAACAGCCTGGTAGAGTCATTGATACAAATAATTTGAATAGACGGTTTCAAGAGTAAGAATGGTTGGGTAGGACCTGCCAGGCACGGATCTCTAGACCTTCTGCAGCGTTACTCTGTTCTCATATTCTTAAGATAAAGCATGGGTCGGAGGGATTCTGAAGTTTTAAGGGGCGCTTAAGTACCCCTGTCTTCTAATAACATGTTCATTTAGTAATTATGATCAAGGTAGATTTTATTTGAAAAAAGAACATGTTATTAGAAGACGGGAGGAACTTACGTGCCTCTTAACATGCTCCAGAGACAAGGGAGGGGAAAGAGCGCTGAGAATGTAAGCGCTGGCTAGATTCCACAGTGGCATGAAGGCCCAGCAGAGATTCAGCAGTAGCTGGCTGGATCCTTCCACGAGGGGAGAAAGGATCAGTAGAGATGGTGTGGGCGCTGGTTGGATCCTTCCACGAGGAAGTATGTGCAGGAAAGGTAATGAGATGGGAGCCAATGTGATCACGTCTCCTGCATATACGGGAAAGCTGCGAACAAAGAGACGGAAATGCTGGAACGAGAATTTACGCGGAAATTCAATAACCCAGGATAAGCCAAGAAAGCCAGTGTGACTTGTTTCCACTGGGGTCATATTTAGGTATTCCCCCTAATGTGACCCACAACAGTCGACTACCTCTTATGTATATATTAACTGCTAGGTGAAATTTCTGAGAATTCTCCCTGAGATACCGGAGAGACATGGAAGCTGAAGGTGTAACAGCGAATGATAACAATAGCCGTCACGAGATACTTGTACCTCAACATCGCTTCATCCGTTGATAAAAAAAAAGACATATGCAACACTTGTGTAACTTTACTGCCAGCAATGAAGACACCCAAGTGTTGCACATGTGTGTTATTCGTCAACTTATCGGTATTGTATACCATGAATAATGTGTCTACCGTGTGACTGTGATCAAAACTGTTCTGGTGTTTTGTCAGTTTCACCTAAATCTGAGTCTGGTCAAGTGATTACTCGTTCAGGGATTAACCATCACACAAATACACATTACATTCTGCAAATAACCACAATAACCCTCTCCATTTATGAATGACATATCCTGCTAAATCCTGGAGCAACTCACCAGCTGTCTTCTGGACCTAGATATTATACTGCCGACAATTGTCAAGAAGACACACGTTACAGATTTTTTTTTTTTTACGGAAGAATGTTCCGCTGTGTGTAAAGCTTTATTAGGTCATACACGATAACACTATATGAACCTGTAAACAGCGAAAAGTTGTTGTAAGGAAAGCTATTTCGACCACATGTGGCTTTTTTCATCCATTCCACTGACGAGCATTCCAATTGTATTTTCATTTTGTATTCTATTTTACGATTTTGTATTCGATTTCACCATTTTGTATTATATTTTACCATTTTGTATTCTATTTCACCATTTTGTATCCTATTTCACCATTTTGTATTCTATTTCACCATTTTGTATTTTATTTCACCATTTTGTATTCTATTTCACCATTTTGTATTCTATTTCATCATTTTGTATTCTATTTCACCATTTTGTATTCTATTTCAACATTTTGTATTCTATTTCATCATTTTGTATTCTATTTTACCATTTTGTATTCTATTTCATCATTTTGTATTCTATTTTACCCTTTTGTATTCTATTTTACCATTTTGTATTCTATTTCACCATTTTGTATTCTATTTCACCATTTTGTATCCTATTTTACCATTTTGTATTCTATTTTTGCCATTTTGCATTCCATTTGATATCCAATTTTACCATTTTATTCAAGAATTCTTTGCATATTATTTTTCATGTCAAATTCACCTTATTTTTGTTGTATTTTACCTTATTTTTGTTGCATTTTGGTGTATTTCACTTTTTGGGTAAGATTTCAACTTACCCAAAAATTGGAAATGAAACCATGACAGTGTTCCGGAACATTATTGATGTCTCGAGTAACTTGATAATGGTTCAGGGAGAACCGAAACGTCATCTATTTCTATTTTCTTTTTCTTTTTTATTTTTTTTCTTTTGTAGGCTAGTTGTAAATAGTTGCAACCACAGTATCGTAACTTATATTCTTGTATAAAAAAATTAAAATGAATACAATGACATTTCCCAGGACACTTTTTTCGGTCCTGGGATCTTGGTCACTTTAATTCGAAGTGACCAGGGTCCCAGTGTTTCCATTCGGTGTCTTTTCCAAACAACCATTTTTTTGGTCTCAGCATTCGGTACTGACTCCTTGTTATTCTACCTTTTTCCCCAGGCCACATTAACCACATCCGGGAGGTAGCTGGTCTGGACCACGTCGGTGTCGGAGCTGACTTCGACGGCATCAATAAGTGAGTCTTCTCCACTTCGGTACATCCTACTTACTTCACATGCTGTGCTACTGTAAACAACGGCGTTTAAGGTTTAAAACTTACTTTGGTGGGTTTCATTAACTCTCTTTCAACTTCTTTAACACTGGAAAACTTAAAATGAAAACTGGAAATCATTTAGGTCTTTCCATAATCTAGTCGCGATGATGGTATAACAGTATTTCCTAAACCCTTTCTATGAGTATCCTATTGGGAGCTACGCTGGATGGTTAGGCTATAGACAGTCTTCAAGGCCAAACTGAACGACTTGAAGAGGATAGAGGAAAGAATAATAATCTGGATGCCCATGACTCCTTGTATCTCCTCACAAGGCGTCTAACTCTGCCTATATTAACCTATTTCTTCAGGTGTGTCCTCTCCTTCGATAACCTCAATGACCATGACGCTCTCCTGGGATCTATGCTTAGGAAGGCACTGTACTGATAAGCATTCTAAAATCTCTTTCGAAGTTCGCTGCATGTGGCAAGATTTGATGAAATAACTTATCATAAGCCTGGTACTACGAGATATGGTACTCACTCTATAGCTTCGACTGGGCGCCCATACTTTTCTGAGATCTGGCTGTGTGGCTAAAGTACTGAGTACTCTGCTGCAGAGTGTGCAGGTTCGAGTCAGGGAAACTATTCTAATTCGACATATATATATATATATATATAATATATATATATATATATATAATATATATATATATATATATATATATATATATATATATATATATATTTACACACACACACACACAGATTCATGGGTCCGTGACTACAGAAGGAGGTTGAGTTGTGGAGCCGGGACTCGATAACATGAGGATAATGCATAACATGTGTATAGGGTGTAATACGCCTTATTCTTCAACTTTTAGGTATTATACTACTGGTGTTTTGATGCACATATTTTTCATAGGTTTAGCTGGCGAGATTTACTGCTGACGTCTGTTGTACCAGGCAGTATTAAACCCAGCAGCTATAAAATTATTAAGTGTCAAAAAATTACTCAAAATTATTGCAATGCGACGCCAACTTTTGCTCCTGATTTTAGCGTACGTGATCTGTGAATGTGATCTGAGTTCGTGATTTGAGTACGTAATCTGAAATGAAGGTAGGTGTGTGTGTGTGTGTGTGTGTGTGTGTGTGTGTGTGTGTGTGTGTGTGTGTGTGTGTGTGTGTGTGTGTGTGTGTGTGTGTGTGTGAGTGTGTGGAGCAAAAATTCGATGGCTCGTTCCGTCTCCTGTACGATACTTGCCTATGTTTTTTTTTCCCTAACTGCCTAAGAGGATTCCTTAATGCAGGCACTTACTGCATGAAGGTGTTGGGCGACTGTGAGTCGTTTCAAACGTATTAAATGCATATTTAATCAGCACTACAGCGCTATCAGCATCGAGAACCTCTCCAAGAGGAATCCATGCGACAAAATGAAAATGTACCCTGCAAGTTTGGTTAAATCTTCAAGGATATCGTATGTTATAAGCTGGAAGTTAAGATAAGATTTCGTTCGGATTTTTAACCCCGGAGGGTTAGCCACCCAGGATAACCCAAGAAAGTCAGTCCGTCATAGAGGACTGTCTAACTTATTTCCATTGGGGTCCTCAATCTTGTCCCCCAGGATGCGACCCACACCAGTCGACTAACACCCAGGTACCTATTTGCTGCTAGGTGTACAGGACAACAGGTGTAAGGAAACGTGTCGAAATATCTCCACCCGCCGGGAATCGAACCCGGGCCCTCCGTGTGTGAAGCGGGAGCTTTAGCCACCAGGCCACCGGGCCACCGTAGCGTGTAGGGTGAAGGATGGGACATTCTGCAATGAATATGCGGACGAGAAACTGAATCTCTATAATCAATGGATGAGATAATTCATGTCTATGATCAGTGGATTGCTTATAATCAGCTGAAGGTCTATAATCAGCAGACTAACAGAGCTCCACTGCCTCAGTGTCCTCATTTCGCGCACCTTTCTTATGAAATTCTAAATTGAATCCACGAAGGCCTGACTGCTAACATAAATATTAAAGGAAGTCTTAGGCTGCTAATCGGAAAAGTATTTCATGCGGGTCGAGACTCAGTGAGAAGTGACCATGAATATCAGGATTAAGTTGACCAGCAGTCGCGGGTGTGTTACCTGCTGCTGCAATATTACAACAGCTTACAGTAGTGCTGTGAATGGTGCGTTTTACCTATACGAACGATAATGCAGCAGTCTACAGCGGTGTGTATGGGTGGGATCGTGAAGGAGTCCTTACAGCCTTCACAGTTTAGAACACGGGTAACAGAATTGCCATTTTCAAGGGGTTTCTTTAAAAAATAAATGGAAGCTTTGAGTTTTCGTAAGGTTTTAACTAAATTTTGTCTATGGTTAAAGCGTAACAAGTACTGCGCTGCAACACACAACTATGACTGCCCACCAAAATACGCTAATTTTTCACATTTTATTTTATGAAGAGATAAGAAAAATTAAAGTTTATATATATAGTGGCATCTCGATATTTGAACTTAACTGGACCCTAGGTGGCGTTCGAACTGCGAAAAGTTCGATGACCGAAAAAGTTTTCCCCAGGCTTCAATTATTTTATCAGCCACACACGAGCGTTGGGTCAGTGTCAGAGGTCACTTCAAAGCACTTTTGGAACAGGGCTTTCCCGTAATTTTTTTTTACAACTGAATTTTAATCATGCGGGCGCGTTCCGACTCCTCAGTGTTTCCTGAACAAAATTGTTCGAACCCCACTTCGTTCAAGCTTCAGTACGTCCAAATACCGAAGCTCCACTGCGTGTGTGTGTGTGTGTATACTCACCTATTTGTACCTACCTATTTGTGGTTGCAGGGGTCGATTCACAGCTCCTGGCCCCGCCTCTTCGCTGATTGCTACTAGGTCCTCTCTCTCCCTGCCCCATGAGCTCTATCATACCTCGCCTTAAAACTATGTATGGTTCCCGCCTCCACTACGTCACTTTCTAGGCTATTCCACGGCCTGACCACTCTATGACTGAAGAAATACTTCCTAACATCCCTTTGATTCATCTGAGTCTTCAACTTCCAATTGTGACCTCTTGTGTCTGTGTCCCATCTCTGGAACATCCCGTCTTTGTCCACCTTGTCTATTTCGCGCAGTATTTTATATGTCGTTATCATGTCTCCCCTGACCCTCCTGTCCTCCGGTGTCGTCAGGCCGATTTCCCTCAACCTTTCTTCGTAGGAGGGTTGAGTGTGTGTGTGAGTGTATATATATATATATATATATATATATATATATATATATATATATATATATATATATATATATATATATATATATATATATATATATATATATATATATATATATAATATAATGTCGTGCCTAATAGGTAAAACTGGTCAGTTATCAAAAACTCATTTAAAATTAAGTCGTTTCTAAAATTTTCTCTTATACGTTTAAAGATATATTTTTTTTATTTATGTTAATGAAAAAATTAAGTTTTATATCGAAAGAGCCTTAGAAAACTTACTTAACCTTATTATAACAAGCGCAATTTAATTTAGCCTAATCCAGCTAAATATACTTTAGATAAGTTTACAATAATTAATAATAAACAAACGCAATGAAATATATTTTTTCGTCAGGTTCAGAATGACTTTTGCCAAATTATTGCATACACAAATTTTCGGTTGCCTTATCCGGCAAGAAGAGCATTGTCATTTTAGTAAAAATTGCAAGCTTTACCTATTCGGCGCGACACACACACACACACACACACACACACACACACACACACACACACACACACACACACACACATAATATATAATCCCAGTTGGACATCCATAAGCAATTCAGTTGAAGTTGGTGGAGTGAGTCAGTCCAGGAATTACTAGGAAGGAGAACCATGGTGATGACAAGGGGTTTGCTGCGGAGGCGGACGATCTTAAGTTTGGAATAATGAAGACAATTATGCTATCATTAAGTGGCCGCCAGACGGGGCTTTGAGGAAGTCTAAAGCTGAAACAACATTGTAACCGGGACCATCCACAAGGGACTAGCAGGTGATGCAGCAGGAGCAGGTGATGCAGCAGGAGCAGGTGATGCAGCAGGAGCAGGTGATGCAGCAGGAGCAGGTGATGAAGCAGGAGCAGGTGATGCAGCAGGAGCAGGTGGTGATGAGTGGTATGTGGTGAGGAGTGGCAGGTAGTGATGAGTGGCAGGTGATGAGTGGTAGGTGGTGATGAGTGGTAGGTGGTGATGAGTGGCAGGTGATGAGTGGTAGGTGGTGATAAGTGGTAGGTGGTGAGGAGTGGTAGGTGGTGAGGAGTGGCAGGTGGTGAGGAGTGGCAGGTGGTGATGAGTGGCAGGTGGTGATGAGTGGCAGGTGGTGATGAGTGGTAGGTGATGAGGAGTGGCAGGTAGTGATGAGTGGTAGGTGGTGAGGAGTGGCAGGTGGTGATGAGTGGTAGGTGGTGAGGAGTGGCAGGTAGTGATGAGTGGCAGGTGATGAGTGGTAGGTGATGATGAGTGGTAGGTGGTGAGGAGTGGCAGGTAGTGATGAGTGGTAGGTGATGAGTGGTAGGTGGTGAGGAGTGGCAGGTGGTGATGAGTGGTAGGTGATGATGAGTGGTAGGTGGTGAGGAGTGGCAGGTAGTGATGAGTGGTAGGTGATGAGTGGTAGGTGGTGAGGAGTGGCAGGTGGTGATGAGTGGTAGGTGATGATGAGTGGTAGGTGGTGAGGAGTGGCAGGTAGTGATGAGTGGTAGGTGATGAGTGGTAGGTGGTGAGGAGTGGCAGGTGGTGATGAGTGGCAGGTGGTGAGTGGTAGGTGGTGATGAGTGGTAGGTGGTGAGGAGTGGCAGGAGGTGATTGGCTGACAGTGGTGGTGATGGTGATGGCTGGTAGTGGTGATGGTGACGGCTGGCAGTAGTGGTGGTAATGGCAGGCAGTGGTAGTGGTGGTTATGATGGCAGGCAGAGGTGGTGGTGATGATGGCAGGCATTGGA